GAGATGCTGGCCCGCCCCGCCTAAGGGTGGGCTGGCGGGTTGGCCCGCCAACCCGCTTACAAAAATAAAAAATAAAAAAAAATGGAAAAAAAATTTATTTTATGGTTAAATAAAATTTTTTTTGCTACAAATAAATAAATATAATCATATGAAATTAAAAATGCATACATATTGTACTTAATATATGTTCAACAAAAACAAATTACAAACTTAAAACAAAATCAAATAGAAATTAGTCCATTTACACCAAAATCAAAACTAAATTATAAACTTACAAATTATTTATACACTAAATTTTTTGATAGTCCACAAACAAGTTTAAATACAATTAATTAACTTTAAATTTTTATTTTAAGAATATTAGAAGCTCTCTTGAAAGAAGATGTCTCTACTTTTTTTCTTAATCATCTTCATCCTCATCTTCTACATCAAAATAAAATAAACATAAAAATAATTAAATTAAAAAATATATATATATGCGGGCCGGCGGGTTGTGGCGGGCCGGCCCGCTATTTGGCCCGGCGGGTTGGCGGGCTTGGCGGGGCGGGCTTGGCGGGTTGGCGGGTTGAAATGCTTGGCCCGGCCCGCCAATTTTTGGAGGGCCAACGGGCCGGCCCGCGGGCCATGGCCCACTTTGCCATCTCTATGATTATCTTCTTCAACAAAAGTACTCAGGGATGCGGTTGAGTTTAAAAATTTATAAGCAAATTAAAATTGTGAAAAAGTCAAATAAAACTCGACAGGAAAGGGATTGGATTAAAAATTTTAAACCATGCCTTGTTGCCATGCCTAAACACAATATTAGGTTAGGAATTGACGAAGATTTTAACCACAGGATTATTCTTAGGGTATCATTGGGTGCTCTATATTGGTATGTATTTCATATTATCAACAAATAGAATATTGTGGAATTTGAACAAATCTAACTCAAAAACAAAGGAGGAAATATGGGTACTATATTTTGAAAACTCTAGAAGCTAGCAATGACAGTACACACTTCAGATGATACTCTAATAATACGTTGAAGTTTTATGGATTAGAATTTAGATAGGGGAAAAGAAATAAAAATATATTTTCACTAATAAAAATCTAGATAATATATGTAAAATACTCATATATATTAATAAGTAATAATCTAGGTTAACTACAAGTGAAATACATCAATATAACAATAAGACAATATAATGTTATTAGAATTTCTTCATAAACAATCTTCTACTATAGCTAAAAGAAATTAACTCATATATTAAACACAAACAATTATCTTACACAATAATGTTTTTAGAGACTATTTTTTGATGGGAAGATTTTTAAGAATTCCCCTAACTTTTTATCTAATTTAATTTCATGTTTATTTATGAATTAAATTATAAGGTTTCTAAAATAATCTATCAATAGATAAAAATAATTGAGTTACAGTATAAATTATTTATCTTAAATCTAAAAATATAATTCATATTTTTTAAAATATCTATTTATAGAATATATATGTAATTTTAAAATATGCAATTTATTTGTAATTTATCATAAATTTTAGTTATATATAATAAATATTTAATGTGAAAAATGCAGGCTAAAATATTAGTATATCAAAATGCAGGAATTTCATAGCCTTTTACTAATGCAAAAAGTGAATTTTCAAATTCATGAATAGAAAACCTTCAAGTAATCTATTTGCTGTGAAATGTCTGCTTTCAGCAGAAATTTTAATGTCACCAAAATATTATTGATTTATTGTCACTTTGAGGTGTTAAAAATTCCTTTGTAACTTTGTAGGACAATATAGCTGCTATAGGCATAAAAACGCACAAAATGATGCCAACAATACTTGCTATAAACTTGCATCAAGTTATGAAGGAGTCATCATTTGTCATGATAAAAGAAGCATTACTGCCCAACTGGTTGATTCTTTCATGTCAAACTAAAAAACTACCAACTGCTGCTTCAAAACTACTCAGACTTCTAAACCACAAATCAACCAATTGTCTCCTCAGGCTCATTCAATTTTTTGTCATCAGATATCATCGTCTGTTTTTCCTGCTCCAAATAGTGTATTTTGTCGTTCATACTTTCTTTTCTGTATGCTTCAATCATGACAGAGTATGTTGTGTTATCTGGTTGACATTCTTTTTCTTTCATACGGTTGAAAAATCTTTCCATTTCCATCAAAGCATCTTCCTTTGCACATGCAGATATGACTGCATTGTAAAAGGAAGTATGCACATGTATCTGACGCTTCTCAGCCAAACTAACACTGCTAATTACTTTGTGGAAGATACCTGCATTAGCATAGCCATTGATAAGGCAGCAGAAAGTCTTGGTGTCTGCTTTCAAACCCTCAGCACACATTTGATCAAATGCATTTTCCATGTTTTTAGCATCACCTACGGCCGCAAATGCCTCAATCACATTGTTATAAGTTGAGGTCGTCCATGGACAGTTTGCCTTGCGCATAGACTGCATAACTGATGACATTTTGTCATACATTCTTTTATTACCATAAGCTGCAATTAAAATGTTAAAAGTGCTCCTTTGTGGTTGTATTCCAAAACTACAAAATTTCTCATACCATTTCTCCATCATATCAATTTGACCCTTATCACGAAAGGAACTGATGACTGCATTCATTGTCCAAACATCAGGCTTGCACGTGGTGCTCTCTATCATACTTGACACTATTTTCTCTATCTGATCAAACCTCCCAGCCTTACCATAACCACTTACAACGATGTTCTGGGTGAGAGTGTTTGGCATGATAGATCTTTTAGCCATTTCATCATACAGCAACTCAACCATTTCAAATTGCAAGGCCTCCACAAGAGCTTTTATCAAGGTACTGTAAGTGAAAATATCAGGCTGGCAACAAGGGAGATTCCTCATCTCATCAAGAATCGAAAACACTTCATCAACCAGTTTGTTCTGACAATATGCTGCAATTAAGGCTGTGTAAAGCTCAGTACTTTCACAACCATCTTCATGTATAGATTTAAAAAGCTGATGGGCGCGATGGGGTTGGCCAGATTTTCCAAGCAATACAATGAGTTTCATGTAAGTATCTTCTCTGGGTTGGTAATAGGGTTGGTCTCTAAGCATGTCAAACAACTGTACATTAAAAATACTAATTGAGTATAATACTCATAAGAAAACAATATACATTTACTCTTATGTACTCCAAGAGCTACCCAACTGTTGAAATTTGATCTAAATTTTAGTAAATGATATTTTAAATTTAATACAACAATAGGTGTGGTGTTTCTGTCCATATGTTGTAATTTCTGTAGACCAGTCACAATACTTTGGAATAACACAAATTTCTTAGCTTTAGCTCCTGCAAATTATTTTGGTGTTTTTGCTCTTGATTAACTTTATAAGTTTTGAAAATGATCTCTATTATGAGATAGCATGCATCTAAATAAGTGACGTTACATGTTATCTTAGAATGACCGCTTGTATACATAGATGCATGTCACAACATCCCTGATGTCTGATGGTGAAACAAACCATTTAGAGAAAAAATGCGAAACAACCAACAAAAATTTGTGGGAACCAAAAGGGACCAAGAGGAAACTCTTTTTCTGACATTCTCTTGCTAATAGTCTCTTTATCATTGGTTAAAATTTATTAGAAATCATAATTTTTAGTAGATTCTACTACTCATTTAGAGCCTGTTTGTTTCCGTGTTGGTTCTACGTCTTCTCCCTCATACTTGCGTTTTTTATGTAAATTTTAAAAGCTACAAATAATAGCTTTGGGTCGGATGTGACTTGATGCAGCCACTCCCGCGTTCTTAAATTTTAACCAAACGTGCACTTAATGAGTCTACTGTTTCTATAGTTTTAACCAATAGTAAAGTGTGTGTCAGATGCGTTGTTAGCACTCTTTTATTTTGTCCTCTTGTCACATCATATTACCCAGCTCACCTACACTTCTCTCTCTAGGCGTATATGAACATTAGGCCTTCATAGATGATTTTTTGAACTTGAAAACTAATGAAGGTAGTAGTAAAATTCACTACTTAATTACAACATCAAATTTCTTGTTTTAGTCAACACATAAGACTCTTAACATTGTCCCTCCCTTAATAACCAACTCTCCACCACTTTTACTCTATCAATCCTGACTCAATGATACCGACTTCACTCATTTATCAGTATTTAGTATTACACCTTAATTCAGTTTATATTTCCATAATCAACTCTCAACACCGATTGTTAGGACTTTTGCAGTAAATATAAGGAGAGTCTAATTCAAAAGCCTAGTCAATCATGTTGGAGAATTTCATATCTTAAGTAACACATCAAATTTCTTATTTTATCCGATGTTGAACTCCTAACAATTACCAAAGTGAAATCAACAAAAACAAAAGACCATTAATCTGACATAAGAATATCAAAATCCAACCATTAAAAAAACGTATACACACGAGTTTATCACGCAGAAAAAACTAAAAGAAAAAGAAAAGGGTAAATTTTTTTGAAGGATAAGACTGACCTCGAGGGCTATAACCCAGTGCTTCTTGTGAATCCTATGGGATAAGACTTCGGGGAGAGAGTGGACCCAGACCTTACTGCTCTTCTTTTTCTCCTTTTTCTTCTTCTTCTTGAGTGTCTTCTTCTCCGTACTCTCGAAAAACAATTCTTCCGGAATTTCTTTCGGAGGTCTGATTTTCGTCGCTGGAACTGGTCTTCGGGTAGAAGAGGCAGAGACAGCGGTTTTTGAGACGCGAGTGACCCGAAAAATGGGGTCTTGGGTAATGGGGTTTGTGTTGGATTTGGTATGGGAAATGGGAGAAGGAAGAATGGAAGAAGAAAAGGAGAGTGACATTGGAGCCATGGAAACAGAGACAGATGACTGACAACTGTGGAGGTAACAAAATTGTTGGTTTGAAGTTTTGCTTAAAGATATAACTTTATCTCTTAGGGGGGTGTATTGGTTTAGGATTTCGTAGGATTTTAAAAGATTTTTTTTGAGTAAAAAAATTCATTGGTATTCAATCAGGATTTTATGTCACTTAAAAACAATCCAGTGGTATTCAATCTGGATTTTTAGGATTTTTTAAAGAGTCCATTAAAATCCACTGGTATTCATTTGAGATTTTTTACAACTTAAAAACAATCCATTGGTATTCAAAAATTTAAGGATTTTAAAGGATTGTTGTGTGAGAGGGATTTTGAAAGACTTTCTAGTGTTATCTATAAATACCAGATTCATAAAACAATCTCATCCAAACCCATCGGATTTTGAAGGATTGTTTGAAATGATTTTTCAAGTGTTTTAAGAATTTTCAAGTGAGTTTTTCATCTTTTTTTTCTATGCTCCTGTCTTCTCCATTTTTTCTCTACTAATAATACTACACTATTGTTCATTGCTCATATATAATACTATTCTCATACCATTCTCCTATTTTGTGAAACTCTAATATGTAAATGATAGTGTCATTGACTTGTTTTATTTTTCTGTTCGTTCTCTTTAATTGACTTACTTTATTTTATTCTATGTAGTTGAATTTGTTCCTTTATATAACACAAAAAAATACTTGAAATTTTAACTTTTAAGTGGTAATTTTTTTTATGACACACGTTAAGAAAAGAAAAAGGTGAAAGATGAAATTGATATCATAATCTCAACAATATATATATATATATATATATATATATAAAAGATGAATTTGTTAGGGTTTTTGTGAGTAGAATGAGATAAAAATGGATCTTAGTAGGGGGAAGAACCCTCTTAGCATAAAAATTGCGAATTCTCTCTTTCCCTTGAATTTGTTACTCTTATCCCTCCTCCTTTTATGACTCAACAATTATTTTATTTTTTTTACTATGAATTTTTCTTTTTTATTTTTATATTATGAAATTAAGATTTTTTATATTTTAAAAAAAGAAAATTAACATAAGACATTGCAATATCTAATTTTTTAGGGTTTAGGATTTATGCCTTCATTAACTTATTTTTTAAAAAAGAAAATATTGTTAAAATATTTGTTAGAATAATTTATATTTATAAATATCGTTAAAAATTATCATATATATATATATATATATATATATATTCTCTATATCTAAATACTTCTGTTTATATAAAAAAAATTATATATCTAAATATTTTTTCAGTATCGAATATACTAATTTTTTTATATAAAAAATTATCTTATGTTTCTATATTTTCGTTTTTACATTTTTTTTATAATAACTGAGGTATTTGATCCATTTGGATAGCAAAAATATATTCGATCTTGTATGATGGTGTGCTTCTAAAAATAATAATATAATTTTATTGATTTTGTCTATTATCCGTAATTATTTATATAACTATTTTTTAACATATATTGTTTTAGTAATTCAAATGGGAGATTCACAAGGAAATAATAAAGAAAAATGAAAAGAGAAAGAAAACTATGAAGCTTGGATTAAGGATGATTCCGATGAATTGTTACAATTGATAGTGGATGCTATAAAAAGAGGATAGAATATTATAGAGAATTATTATTATTATTTATCTAGACATTATTTTTTTTATTTATTATTTTTATCTTTGACTCTTTTTAAATTTGAATGTATAATTTTTTTTAAATCTTATCAAATGTCAAAACTCCACAAAATCCCACAGAATCCATTAAAATCCTAATTTAAAAGTCTTGCAGAATCCATTAAAATCCTGATTTTAAGTCTTGTAGAATCTTGCAAAATCTTAAAAGTCATGAAAATCCTGCAAAGTCTTTTAAAATCCGCAGGATTTTTTTTAACTAAAAAAGTCCTTTGAAATCCTAATCCAATACACCCCCCTTATAGTTTACCTATTTATTATTTTTTTTCTCGTTGAATTTGATTTTTGTCTGTTTTTACTTCACTCTACATCTGAATTTGATAATTGGGAAATATCAAAATAGTTCAACTTTTTTTTACTATGGTTCCATGATGTTTTTATTCTAATTTAGTATTTTTAATAATTTATCTTTATAAAATTTTGTATATCCTTATATTATTTTTATATATTATTAAAAATATAAATAAATAAATAAATTTATAAAATAAAAACAAATGATCAATATTTAAAATATTTTTATATAATTATATTTTTTTATTATAGGCTTATAAATTACAACATACATTAACATACATGATTAAGTATATATTTTTTAGTAAAGATAGAAAAGATTATAAAGATGGTCGCAATGAGGATTGAATTTAGGTTATCATGCTTCTAATTACCTCAACCTCTCCTCACTCAACCACTAGGCTAACCCTAATGGTCTTGATTAACTATATATTATCTCTCCAATAAAAAATGATTCATCTTTTCTCCTATATTTTATTTAAAATTTTAATTTTGATGATATTGGATAAATTATATTTTAAAAATAAATTTATTTATATAATATAATAAAAAAATTAATATACATGTATTAAAAATATAAATAAACAAATAAATTTATAAAGTAAAAACAAATTATCAATATTTAAAATATTTTTTATACAATTTTCTTTTTCATTATAAATTTATAAGCTTAAGATGTGTGCATGAGTATACATCAACAACCAACATACATGATTACACATAAATTATCCCTTCAACGGAAAATGATTCACTTTTTCTCTTATATTTTTTTTAAAATTTAAATTTTAATAATATCAAGTAAATTATATTTTAAAAATAAATTTATTGACTTTTTAAAGATTAAATTTATTGACCTAATTAATATTATTAATATAAATAAATTTTTAAATAGGTTAATAGGTCACGTTAGACTTTAAAAAATTCAAGCCAAACCTATAAAAATAGCCTATGACAGATAATAAGTCAAACTTAGACTTTAATTTTGTAAAATAGACTCAATCTATATATTCAAGTCTGATCCAACCTGAATTATTTTCATTTTTATTTATATCACTACATAGTAGTGATTATAGTGATAATAATAGTGACGGTGATTGAGGTGACTATTATAAAGGTATCAAAAACAATGATATTATAAGTGGGTGTTTATCACAAGTTTTAATCTAAATCATTAATTATTGTATTTATAATCTAATGTTATTTAATCCTCTCATTTCTAGTAACAATATATTTTTCTCATTATCTATAACCTATAATCTATAACAATATATAAAGTCGATATGATATTTTCGTGTATTCATTTCATTATGCCTTTTTTTTATCTTTTTTATCATGTTATCTTTTATGTAACACCACGATTTTTATAAAATTATATTAATAATATGTAGAATTTATGTTAATGTTTTAATGTGTTTATTAAAAAGATTTTTAATATTATTTAGTTATTTGATATGAATTGTATTTTTATATAAAACGTATGTTATTGTTACTAAAAGGGAGAAATATATTTTATATTATTTATTTATTTTATGTGAGATCTATTTTAATATAAAAATAATTTTTAATTAATATTTGGATTATTTGATATACAACTATTTTTATGAAAATATGTTTTATCAATAATTATATTTATGTTATTTATTAAAATGAGAAAATATGTTTAATTATTTTATGAGAAGGGAAGGAGGGACGTAGTGATCTTTTGCTAAATATTATTATTGTTATTATTATTATTATTATTATTATTATTATTATTATTATTATTATTTATTTTTATTATATTTAAGAAAGGAGGTTGTCAAGAGTTATTTTTAAGACTCAAGAGAATCATGAGGACGAGGTCACCGGGGAACTGTACGCATTTTGTCTTCTACTCATCAAGATAAAGGGGGAGTGAGAAACTTCACTTGAGGATATGAGAATAACTGTTGGATAGCAGGATTAACTCACAATCCCTTGTTTGGTGTATATCTATAAGAACAAACACTTTATGAAAGTTTTCTGTTTTTCTTTCTGATTGTTTTGTTGCATTCCTTATATAATTTTGAGTGTGAATATGTGTTCAATTTTGAGAATAGATAAGTTTTGATATAAATTAAAGTGTTCTATGAGTCCTTACAGAAATTCTACGAGAAACAAACAAATTTTGAATATTTTCTGTTTTGACTTTTGAGTTTTCTATTATATTCCTTAATGATTACTAAGTATGAATGTATGCTTAATTTTAAGTTTGAATATGTTTTTATATAAATTAGAGTGTTCCATGAGTTCCTACCGGAAATCTTATGAGAAACAGACAAATTTTGAATGTTTTCTGTTTTGACTTTTGAGTTTTCTGTTGTATTCCCTGATGATTACTAACATGAATGTATGTTTAATTCTGAGTTAAAATATGTTTTGATATGGATTAGAGTGCTCTATGGGTTCCTATAGGAAATCCTATGAGAAACAGACAAATTTTGAATGTTTTCTATTTTAGTTTCTGAGTTTTATGTTGTATTCCTTGATGATTATTGAGCGTGAATGTATATTTAATTTTGAGTTTGAATATGTTTTGATAGGGATTAAAGTGCTTTATGGGTTCCTATAGGAAATCCTATAAAATATGAATATTTTTTGTTTTGATGTTTGAGTTTTCTGTTGTATTCATTGATGTTTGCTGAGTGTGAATGTGTTTAATTTCAAAAACATATAAGTTTTAAGCCATGTTTGAAGGTGCTAATGGTGTGTGAGAATTGCCTTATTATTGTGTTAATGCAAGTGATGTGTTTGTATGAGCATGATGAGGATGAGGATCTATTATATGTGAACTTATGAATATGAGTATGAGAACTGTGAAATGTGAAAAAGTGAAATGAGACATGATGTGATATGATAAGTGAAATGTTGAGTCCATGAGTTGTAAATGTGTGACATGCATCTTATGCATTTATGTGATGGGGTACGATATATGCATTTATGTGATGGAGTATATCGTTAGGGAAGGCCCTCTATGTGTGAAACATCTTGGAGGAGTCCTAGGGGATAGC